CAGAGCCAGAGCCGGGGCCCTGGGCGAGCCTTGGGGTCCATGGCTGAGACACATAGCAGCTTTCTGGAAGAACTTCATGATTTCTGAAAGAATGGCACCAAAACTGAGCCTTTTAAGAAAATGCTTTTATTTTTTGTTGAGTTGTCATGTTCCAGCAGAAATATTTCTCTAATCGGTTAATTATTTTTAAGGCTGAACTTCTGCCAGTTATTCTAGAGAAGGACAGCCAGCATGGTAGGGCTATGGTCCTGCTGTGTACATTACCATGGTTTTCCTAACACTACAGGCAACAGACCCCAGTTCGGAAGAAACAAGAGAACTCATGTACCCTCATGTGTTTGTGTATCTATCTCCAGCTCGGGGAGGTAAACCAAGACCTTCTTCCCTCAGAGCGACAATTCTGGATAACAGTTTTTAGGTGCTGATAGGCCTACTGTGGAAAAGGGTTTTTTTTCCTGGTTGTGTTTAAAAGTTTCCTTCTTAGTCTCCAGGCCAGTTCACTGTTCAAATCACCAACATCACCCCAAATAAATCTCATCAGTTAAGGCAGTCCTTTCTCAAGCTTTCCAGTTTGCAAGAAAGACAGTGCTTGGTAGCACCCCACTACAGCCCTCCACTGCTCTCAGATGATGCTGGAGGACGCTGGAATCCTTTCCTACATCAGGTGTGCTGAAATGGCTTTCCAGGATGTGCACCAATAGAGGTAAAAATCAAACTCTTCAGATGGTGAAAATGAGTATTACCCCACCGAGAAAGACAGAACACCTTTCACACTCCAGCCACGTGTACCACTAAACACACGATTTACATAGTTCTCAGTCATACCTTTGGCTTCAATGGAGACAGGTCTACCTAAAGCAGAGCCTGTTTGCATCTCACTTCTCCTCGTAGGTAAAAACACGTTAGAAATGAATAGAGTATGAGCAAGAATGTGACTGGCCAGTAGCGCTTCAAAGGAACACGAGCTCCTCACTTCAGAAATTAAGAGCTGCTGGCAGTGACTCTCTCTGACTTTCTTCCCCCACACTCTGACATCCCCATGGCCACTTGTAAAGCAGGAGAGTTGGCAAACCTACGTTATCCAGGGTTGTGAAGACAAACTATTCAGGAAACGAAGGAGGGAGGGTTGACTGTGCTGTCAATCCCCTTAAAAGTTCAACTTGCTACCTAAGTACACATTGAACACGTGAATAAAACATCTGGGGCTTTCCTATTATTAGTCTCCTCACGAGTGGATGAATATATTAAAGCTTGTAAGGCTCCGAGAGATTCTGCGATGGATGCTGCTCCAGGAGCGCAGCACACACAGACAGATCACTTCCACACATGTAAGTGATATTCATTTATGGAAGTTGTTGGTTTTTTTTTTTTGTAAGAACTCTAAAGACCCCCCTTGGTTAATGACACTGTTCAATCTTCTTACATTTCTTCATAGATTCAGGGTAGAAAAGTATTCCCTTCCCCCTTCCGTGCTTGCTGCTAGAGGCATCCTGATAATCAGACTAATCTTGGGACCAATTTTCAACTCCTAACAGCTCAGTAAACTAAAATGCTTAGGCAATTTTTTTCTCTGTATATTGTCAGCTAGGTAACACTTGATTTCTCATTCCATGACTGCATTTTATTGTTTTAAACTGAAATCCAGCATGTGTGTTTCCAACAGATTATCTCCATAATCACTTTCTTTTTGCTATGGAAATGATCTGAAAATTGTTCTTTGATACTAGAGAAGAGTTCACAAGGCCACACTGTACAAAAGCTCGAATTGTGCAATTATCATTTGTAAAGAGAAACTGTTATCAAAGTAACTGCAGGGGACACCTCCAGGACTCCTCTTAGAGTCAGGAAATTTGAAACATATATTTCTCTAACGTGAATTTCACTCCAAACCCTTCTGAATAATTCATGAGAGCTGATTTAATGTCATAGTTAAGCCTGGCACTCAGGATGGAGATCCTCCACAGATGGAGGATTTCACCAGTTCCTTTAGGGTAGCGGGGGGACAGAGCTGGGGTCTCATCACTAGGAGGGTTTTGCTTCTCAGGTGCCTTTGATTTGGGAGTCCCTTCCCCATGACAGGCAGGCTTGCAGGGAAAAGCTGGGTGGAGGTGAGCACCTTCCTTACTTCTGTCTCAGGCTGCCTGCTGGGAAGGCAGGAAGGTAAAGGGGAACGGGACCCCCCCCATCCCCCGTCCCCCTGCCTCACTCTGCCCCCACCAGTGCTAATGGCAATCAGAACCAGAGCCTCTACTTTTCTTAAGCAGCAGGAAATTACCCTCACTGGCGGGTAACAGATGTTATCTGCTCTTTAAAGGAAGAAGGCACCTTGAGATGAGAAAATGCCGTTTTGTTCTTCATTCGCTAAATGAGAGGAGCTACAAATTGCTGGAAAATGGTAGTTTACAAAGCACTGAAAGGAAGACCTGCAGTTTGGCAGGTGACCAACACCGAAATTTTTGACTATCATCTTATGTGTCTACAGGCAGGCAAATTAGGTGAAGGGATGCTCCTCTCTCCTACTTTTTACTTGTAAAAGTAAAGGGGTCAGAGGTAGCTGCGCCCTGAGGGCTCACTTCACCAGCATCACTGCTGCTGCCAAATTCCTGCTCTCTCCCAACCTAGGATGAGTTGGAGAACTAAATCTATGAGGGAGTCCCCTTCACAGTCTCTGGGGACTTTTCGAGCAAACCTGACTTCCATGAACTCAGGATTTCACCCTACAGAGCTCTGGATGTTACTGTGCTAAAACTACCCAGGACTCACATTCCCATTACGCAGCGTAGCCTGAAGACTAAGTGCCATTTGATGTTGCCAGATTTTTGGAAGAGGACATGAGGGAACATAAACCAATCATTTTATAGGACTTATTGGCATTTAATCCTGAAGAACTTTTGTAATGCCAGGTGCTCCTTCTTTTTACAGACAGTAAAAATAACACATATGTATTTTGACCGAGGTCAAAGAGTGGCAAAATACTGCAGTTTTGTTAATTCCCAGAGGCCAAATTGCTCCCCTATAAGATCAGGGTGCTGATGCACAGAACCATGCTGCCAAGTCGCTGAGCAGTGCTGAGCATAATTGTGTTTGTTTTTCATAATACAACAAGGCTAAGATGCTGTCACTGATAACTCAGATGTAAAACTGGTGATTACAATACAAAACTACGACAGTTTTATCTTTGGCAATCTCATTTTGCTGAAATGCAACTATCATGAATACTTGTTAATTATTCTCTTTGTATTATGCAAGATTATATTTAAATGGCAGTCATAGATGGTTACAACTTACAGATTTTGAAAAGCCAAAAAGTTGTCTTTAAGACACCTGAGGAACTGGAGAAAACACCCAACTGTGACATGAGAAGTTGCTCCTAACACATCTTGTGCTAAAGCCTCTGTATTTTTCAAATTTTAATCATTGCCTAATGCTACAGATGACACCTACTGGGCAAATGAAAGCCTGGCACATCCAGCATTCCACGGCCTTCCGAATACTTGCTTATTTCCTGAAATTGCCAACAAGAATCAATCCTCTTTACCCTCTGCAATAAGATTTTGTTGCACCTTTTACATAGGCAGGTGTTTGGTAACTGCTGAGGGGAAGGCCAGAAGTACAAACCCTCAACTCACTAGAACCTACAGGATAAAAAATGGCTTTGTGTTTGCAGAGGAAGGGCTGCTTAAATTGTCCTCCTGAGACTATTACTTCTATTGAAGTCTAAATAGTCCCTCTGTTTCGTAAGCTTTGTCAAGAAGCAGGAAGACCAGAACATCAGGGAAAACACCGCTTACCTTTTCTTACCACTGGTTAATTTTCTTTTGCTTTGTGGACAACTGTAATAACTTTGTTACATCACCTCATTACCAATCAGTGTGGAACAATGAGATAGCAGTGTGTTCATCGAATACAAGCAATATTAATGGCTTGTATTAATGTTAGAAAGAAAACACTGAAAATTCTCCCTTTACGTTGGCTAATTATTCACACTGGGACTAAAACCAGAATTTCAATGTATAAAAAGGATATTAGGTAAATTATCCAAGTTGTTGCTCTTATTGCTTTCTACAGAAACTGATTTGAAGAGCAAATTTCTGTCAACTCAAACTGCAAAAGCAAACTGCAACTGCATTTGTCAACTCAAACTGCAGCCAAAACATGAGACGTACTCTTCTCTAAGTTAGTCTATATCCTGAATTATGCACTCACTGATGAAAATTCCAAGTATTCAGAGGAAAAAAAAAAAAACCCGTAAGATTATTGCTATCCGTTTGAACTTATAATACAAGAAAAAAAACTTCCACACACTTTGCACGTGCAGCTACAGTGATTAACTGCATATATTAGATATTTGCAAGCATAATTAGTTAGCTGTCTGCACAACTCAAATTACCCAGGAAACACTTTATTCTCCATGGTAATTACAAACCTGATGCGCCACAACTGCCCACATCTTTTTGTGTAAAACAGGACACTCAAATATACAGAAAAACAGTTTAAAAATTTTAGTATCTTAAAAATTGATTCGATCTTTATTAACTTAATAGCAAAATTTCTAACAAACTTGTATTCAAATACAAAAAAAAAAAAAAAAAAAAGAAAGCTGTAAATTCAGGAGTGGCCCTGAACTTAGCTCTGCTCATGCAGAAGATAATGCCACGTAGTAAGATCTCCAGATCCTCACAGAAATGGCAGGCTGGCACGTAGTGTCATGATTTTTTTAAACATATCAGTTTTAGTCAGCTGCTCAAGTTTATTAAGGGGATTCACTTTCACCTGTTGGTCTTCAGATGTTCATGTACATATCCTCCCCCATATGATGAGAATATACAGGACAGTGTGCTGCTTCTCACCATCTTTGGTATTTGGAAAGCTATTGAAACTTTTACTCTGTATTGAAAGGTTTCTTCGCAGGAGAGAGCCTTGAACATAAAGCTCCTGTCAGTTGAGGCATGGAGACCTTTCCCTCAGGCAGTCATGCTCCATTTTTCTTTCTGGGAGCATTAAGGTAAGATCTCACCAGGCACTGTTCGGGAGTTGAATATATTCGTGTAGAAATCTATCAGCAGTTCAGTGAAGAGATTCAGGGGTACCAGAGCGCTCAGGGAGGCTGTTCCTTTCGATGGCCAGATCAAATTCAAACCAAAGACACAGGCCAGGCTGGATGCTGTCATTCTGTTATATATGCTCTCCTGTGAAACCTGGAAAAACATGAACAGGAATAGGTAAGTGCAGACATGTGCCCCAGAGAGAGAGACAAGACACCTCCTTGTATTGAGGATGAAACAATGACGGGAGTAGACCCTGGCCACAGGTACATCACTGGCTTCTTAACAAACAGCTATCCCAACTGCTTCAGTGCTAAGTCCTCTATAGAAGAAACCTTGAGGACTTCTGAAGTTGTTTGCAAGGATTTAGACTGATTTTTTTCCCACTGATGCATGACTTCACTTCCAAGTACCTCCACATCTACCCAAGTCCTCTAAAGCAATGGAAGTGAAAAGGGGCTGTAGGTAAAATACACAGCATGGAAATCTGTTCTGCACCTGGATGATGTGTCCTACTTCTATTTGTGGATGGAAGCCCAGAACTGGGTAGCAGGAGTACTTTTTTCCCCTCTGTGTGAGCTTGGTGGGGAATTTGTGTGTGTTTTGCTCTCCTGTGTTGTGTGGCTGGTATCTAAAGCCCAATATGGTCTGGGTGTCATATCTGACAAGTTCTCTGTTATTGTAAAGAGCCAGCAAGCTGAAGGTGCTCTTCATTCCTCCTGACCTAGGTGATTCACCCAGCTCTTCTCAGGCTGCTGGTTGCAGGTGTCGATCAGTAATCTGTCATGAGAAGACCACGCAGACCAAACTGTGATGTACAGGTTACTCTGAAGCTGTCATCTCAGAACAGAACAAGGAGTTGTTGGGCAAAATCTCCCATATATTCTTCCTGCTACAATTTCAAGTGGAATAGGAAAGCAAAAATTCTCTTTCTCAGTGTCTCTCTCCACTTCTGCCTTGCCATAAAGCCTTCTGGAAAGGCAGCTCTGTAGTACTATGAAAAGCCTGAGGGCACTAGAGGAAAACCAAAGAAACATTATGATCATGTCAACACTTCTTAGCATAAGCATAAACTCCAGCTGCCCTCTGCCTGGTAACAGAGGCTTCATTCCGCTCTATCTCCTACAGCACAGTCCCACCCTCCTCAGTGTTTTACCTAGCAAGGAGTCTATTTGCTCAGCCACAAGGGGATATAATGCCCTTCAGACATATGCACAGGATGGAAGTCCTTCCCTTGGGGGACACAAAGAAGCACTTACGTGCCCAAAAGCATAAAATTTTCTTCCTAACCATATTATTTTTTCCAATAATAGATACTATTCTTCCCTCCAATCTTTGCCTTACCCTTTTGGGACATCAGAGCTACCATGATGCTAGTTCTGCTACAAATACTAAAGGCTTCACTTGTTTTTAAGGCCATGAAGCAGGACTGGATAAAGGAAGGAGATACTGGCACAATATCACCTTTTCAAAGGATTGAATTCACAACTTGAGAATAAAAAAGTCGTCAGATTAAACAGCAAAGCCTGCTTCATGACCTTATGCAAAACCCACATCATTCTCTCTAGAGCACGAACCATGTATAACCTTCTGACCTTCACATACTGCTCTCAATGCACTATTTAACTACACAGAAAAAACAACAAGCTCATCTTGTTCATTTAACCTGCTTCAGATGAGATCAGCTCAAGCAAGAGTTTGTTATACTACAGCAGTGTAGTAAAAGCTAAACTACTACCAAAATAACTCATGAGGGAAAACAATCAGGACAATGATGAGTACCCTGTTAACAAGGAGACATAGACCTAGGTATTACCCAGGACAAAGCAGCTGGTGTTTGGATACTAATAAAGATAAGTTTAGAGACTGCATTGTGGCCCTTGGGTCAAGTGGCTCATACTGGCTGCATCCACACTGTGTAATGTACATGTGAAAGCCCTGTGGATCAAGGACAAATTATTTTTTGGTGTTTCTTTCAGCTGAAAGTCTCTAAAATAACATGAGAGCTGCAGCCTATCACATCTATAGCACAAAATCAAAGATACATGTTGTATATCTTGAGGCAGGGTACACAGGACAGGTACCCTGTGATGGCACAGAAGCATGTGGTATAGTATTGGAGGACAGTGGAGGGTGGAAGGAGCCAAACCTGCTGCAGTTATCTCCTCCTGGTTTTTGGGAGTGCTCCCTGACACACTCCATCCCACAAGTTCTGTACAGGTGCTGTCTTCAAGCGCTAGTTGAAACACACACAGGTTAACCTAGCCACTGCCTTTGAAGGCCAACGTTTCAACTCAGAGTAACACCACTGTGACTTGCTGGTAGAGCTGGATTTATTTTTTCTCTTTAGGCCAACTATTTCAAAGAATGTTTCTAACTCCAAGAGGAAACCATCTCTTCCACCTGTCACCATTCTGTGAACATTTCAAGGAGACAGTCAATGTTGAAATGATCAACAAAAATATCCATGACACAGCTTCTCCCTTGAGAGATAAAATCCTTAAGATAAAATGAAACTGATTATATCATCTGAGGCAGAGCTACACTAAGCCTTATCTGTGAGTCATCAATGAGGCTGACACTTAGGAATTCAAGGGAGACACAGCATGTTACTTCACTCCAAAACGCACAGCAATCTCTTCCTCGGCAGATCCAAGAAAAAGTGCAACTGAATCCAACTCTCTCCACAATAATCTTTGCCGGCTCACCGAGAGCTGCAAACAAGAAAGCCTTGTCACACCAGTGGTAATGACTTTATCCCTCCCTCAGGGGATCAGGCAGGATCACCATCTCAACCCTCTTATTACTTCAATGCCAGATTTCTTTCTCGAGAGACATGAACATATTCACTTTATCTACCACACCATCATGAGCAGCTGATGTTTTCTTCCAACACTAGACCATGCAAGGGCAGCATGCAGCCCACCAACCTCTCCTCTAAATAACTGCACCTCAAAGCTACGTTCTATCTAAGAAATACAAATTACATCTTTAGCATTTGGACTACTCCCTTTGACTCCTTCTCTGATTACCTCGCAAAGTTAGCAAGCGTCATCTCTGTTTCAAGTCTTGAAATTGACTTGGTCTGTCAATTTGACAAGCTAAAAAAAGACGATTCTCCAAGGACCTAGATCTTATCTTTGAAGGAATCATCTGAACATCACAGAAAAGTACTATAACAAAGAACTACGCAGTTTGTTGTTTTTTTTTTCCCCGTTTCATTGGAACATGTATAGAAAAATCATTAAGTAATGACAGCCTATATTTAAAGAAAGCCCTCTAGAAAGATAAAACTTGTACATTGCAAAACTCATCATTGGAAATAAATATTGAAGATTTAGTGCCACATCAGCAAATGTAAACCATACATCTTCACTATTCCAGAATAAACACCCAACTGTCCCCAGCAAAACTGTGGCGATTTCTGGGTTCCACATACTTGCATCTCAGCACCTGCATGGGTACGGCAGGGGTGAAGCCAGCCAGCCACCACACTACCTAATGAACTTAAACAGCGAAAGACAGAGGGTAGAAACAGCCAATTACCACCACATTTTAAAAATATAAGGACATCACAATCTCTTCGGCTTCTCAGTCGCAATGCTGAAAGAAACTCCACAGAACATTTTCAAAAGAAAATTGCTACATATTAAAACACCCCCACAAACGGACTGGAAATAAAAGTTTCTATCCTCCACTCTCAGCTACCTTGCAGACGTGCCAACTGCTTGTATCTGCTCCACGAGCCTTAATCATCTAATCCTTCCCAACATGCCCTGTCATCTACAGCCACCCCCAAGCATTGCTGGTGCTAATTACACTTTTCAATTGGACAAGCAATTGAGACAAAACATTAATTCAGAACATTGTTTTTTTTTCCAGCTTGTACTTGGCTTTAACTTTGCCGCTTCGGTTACAGATCTGAAGCACAGCTTACGGACCCCAAAACCTTGCACGTTTTTCTAGTTGGTCCAAGTTTGATGTTTCGACTTTGGCAAGTTTTTGCAAAGGTTCTTTTGGCCAAGTCAGCCACCCTGCCCCTGCATCAGGCATAGCTGCAGGGACAGAAATAAGTAGTAGAGAGGGAAAGCACATAAGCACAGAGAGAGGGCTGTATCAGCTGGTACCAACACCAAAAACACGGTTATAAAAACACAATCTCGATGATATTATTGCCTCTACAAACTTTGCTGATCGTTTAGCCTTAGACCGTCATGGAAAACTACAATTACAGTTTTCTACTAAATGGTTTCTGGCTTTAGAACTGGGTAACTGTAGCCCTCAGCCTGCTTTTCCAATTTGGAAGAAGACTTCTTTGAGCCTTTTACGCTTGCATGTGCATTCATAAATCCACTTCACTGCACGTACAACACAGGGCTTGGGGAACACAAACACTCATCTCTTGTGAGATCAGCTGAGCAAGTACGGACATTTTTACAGACATAATTCACAAGTCAATTTCACAAGATTGACTTGCGAAAACCGGTCTTTGTCTTCCCTCTTGCTCCTGGTTGCCCAATGCTGCCTAGGGACCTCAGTCCACTGCAACACCAAGGGGACTCTGCCATCCTCTCGCTAGCAGCCAGATACACTGCAAGTGTAGATGGACAGCTTATACCTTTCACAGCACACTGGGCTCATTACTGGCATAATCACTGCTAATCTAAGGTTAAAGAATTTGAACCTATTTTTGAAATTCAAGTCTTTTACTTCTGTAGGAGTTGCACTGTCTTGCTGCAGCACCCTTGGGCTAGAAGGAGTTGCTTCATTAAGTAAGGGGGTTAAGACTGCAGAGAAAATAGGGATTTTCTGATTTTTTTTTCTTCCACAAGCCTGTACCAAACCTGGAGTGTTCAAAACCTGTATCTAGCGATTACAATTCATCCTACTTCAAGAAATTACCACAAGTACCTCTTGCACTACTCAAGGCTGAGCTCATGGAAGAATTAAATTGCCTCTTATATGTAAGAAGGTTGATGCTTGCAGGTAAAAACTAGGATTATTGGTAGAGTGGTCTGTTAAAGTTTGAATTGTGGCAGCTTGTGCAGCACGCCGATCTGCAATGAATAGAAATCTCTAGCTCCTAGATTGTTTCAGGTTCCCTTGACCTTTCCAAATGCAAATATTCCCTGAGACATTAAGGATGAAAAGCCATGGATCAGCAAAAATTGCAGATCTGAGCACTAGTATCAACCTGACGCTGTGCTTTACATAACCAGGCATACTCAAAAATAATGCTATGTTCTGTTGCCCAATTACAGAAAACACTATGTAGCACTTTTGCACACCTCATTAACACCTCAAGTGCTCAGCTTTTAAGAAGTGCGTCGAGATGGTACATCTATTATTGGAACAAAGTCACTTACACGATTCATAACACTGAGGAGAGATATCAGTTGCTAAAATAACAGCTAGTGACACCAGGATTTCCTTAATAGCATTAGAGTTCAGCTAACCAACAGTAAACGAACATGTGAGTATTACAGGAACCTTGTAAGTGCTGTCTGAGTGAGGGTCATATCAATGTGTTTCTTTGAACCTTGCTTTTCTCTAGTGTTTTTATAGAAAAAGGATTAAATGTATTTGTTTCTGAAGTATGCTACTGGCTAGAATATGGCAAACATGATTGTAGTCCAAGAACAGTTACTGAGGGCGAATTCCTCCACTGTTGAAAACCAGCATCATTCCACATACATGATTGCTTTGGTGGGCTCTTAGGACTTCTAAAGGCTAGATCCCTTTATTTAAGGGTCAGCTACACCACGATCCTCAATTTTAGGCACCTGGGTTTGAAAAACGCAATCTGGAAGAGGCAATGCACTGGATAAGGCAGAAGGAAGGGAAATTTACACTTCTATTATTGTCTTCTCCTGCACATAAACTGGCAACCAAAGGATATCACTAGGCTAACTGTAGAACTATTTGTAATGGATGTTCTCCAAACATTCACACTTGTAGGGTTTCCAAATATGGGTCTAAAAAAAATAATCAGCAAATCAAAAACTAGGACAAAAGACACAGGATTTCATTTATCCTGATGCATACCAAAAATTCTTGCAAATGGCACATTCAAAGGTTTTCATTTAACACATTCTGTAGTAAATTACAGAATGAAATGCTATTTTAAACAGGAAAATGTAATTTTTAAGATTTAATATAGAATACTTTGTTGATTTTTGTTCCAAAGCTCATCAATATTTATATCCTTTTCTAAAATGACACGAATTTATTTGGTGCCTTAGTTGCCCAAGATTTCTACTTCAGAGATAAAAAAAAAGGTGATTTCATCTAGTTCTTCTCTGGCACTGAAAATTACAGAACCACTGTTCTCAGGCTTTTTTTCACTCCGAAATAGGAAAAAAACTCCAAAATTAAATCAATAAAAACATACATTTGTGAATGCGGAGTGAAGGGGACAGGACTTTTAAATATTCCAGTGCAGGCACAGTTTCACTTAAATTTAAACAGTAGTTTCCATGACATCTAAAGAGTTTCATGGTGAAGGGATGGCCAAACCATTGTTTAGCACTGACTCTTATTAGAACTGGAGGGTTTTGCATCCTGAGTTCACTCCAATGGCAAATATTGCACCACCAACTCACCGTACTTTTTAAATTAGTCCGTTTTATTTTCTGTGGAAATGTTAAATGTCATATTAACAAGAACAGATTTAGAAAGAAAAGACTGGCACTATTTTGGAAATTTTGCCTATACTCACCATATGGAGAAAGCCGATCAAATATTTCAGAACAACGTAATTGTGTTCAGGAAGTTCTTGAATGATTTGTTTACATCTGGTGACCCGTAAACTGCTCTCCACACCTGCAACGTCAAAGTCAATATTACCTCCAAAATGCGAAAGTATTACCAAGAAATAATACCTTATTTATATCTGCTAGAATTACTTTACACATCCATCTGTGAAACTGACCACAAAATTCAGCTTTACTAACCTCCATGACCACAATAACAGTTAGGGTTATCCCTTTGAATGTCCCTATCATACATTGTATTATTAAATATCTGGCTAAGACTAACTTCCAGAGTATTTTCTCGATTCAATGAAATAGCTAAAATAATTTCTTTGCAAGAGATGACTTTCAAAGGTCTTGATTTGAATGCCACTATCTCTTCATGCACTGAATCCAAACACCTACTTTCTATGCTCTGATTTTATTCTTGCTGAGACCTAGTCCTGCCCAAAACACTCCTTTGGCACTCTGCTAATTTTAAAACACTTTTATGATTCTGCAGGAAACTCTTCTGTCCTGGCAAAAATTTATGAGATGGCCACTTGGGTGGGTAAGAATTTTCCAGAGATGAACCAAAGTGGGTTTATTAATTCATTTCTACAGATGGGCAAAACCAGAACTGGACCCCAAACTCCTTGCATCATCTAGACAGTCTGGGTGAGAATTACATTAACATTAGATTATATTTCAAATGCTATTCCAAGTGATTTTTTTTTTCTTCCTCTGGAATATTGTGATTATTTTAATACTGGTAGTTTAACACCAATTTTGAGAAAGGTTTGATGATTACAATCATGCCTGACCTAACCAGCTCATTTGTGATGATGGTTTTTCTGCATGTGTTGCATTTCTCTCTCCCTCTCCCTGACATAACTAGAGGTGTGCATAAGTATGTGTGCATGCACAAAATTCCAGCATGTTAAATATTCCCTTAAGCTCTGGATTAAATATATGAAGCTATATTCTGGTGAGCTGTGTTGACATTTTTCCTACTGTAAAGCTACCACTTCCCGTAAGACATGATAATCTGAATCCCAAGAATTTTTTTGTCAGCCTTCTGCAGAGTAAATAATGCAGAAAGCGTAGCAATACTGGATAAAGGAATTCTTGTTAGCAGTTTTCATGACCAATGAAGAAGCTCTTTGACAATTACAAGCTTCAAGGTTTTATTAATTTTTTCAGTCAGTCACTCGGCTAATTTATTTCACAATTCCCATCAATAACTCTTTAAAAAATGTTTCAGATGAGACACTAAAGAGAAAAGTTTCACTATTGTTTCAAAGTTCCACGCAGCAGAGATACTGTATTTCTGGGTTTTCAGGTTTAAACATGTAAAAGATACATCACACACTGCTCTGGTGTCTTCCAGAAGACAGAATGAGAATTTTCAGATCATTCCAAAACAGCTGTCTGCCATCACACCTCTTCAAAGCTCCCTCCTGCGCTGTATTTACAGAGAACATGCCCTTGCTGCAGTCCAGCTTGGCTCTCAAGCTTAAGATCTTTTAACATCAAGATGTCACCACAGCGTCAAGAAAACATAGTGGACATCACACTGCGTAACAAGAAAGCCCAAGGAACTTGAACTTCACTTTTCAACACATTTTTTTTTTAACATTTAAAACACCAATAAACAAAAATAATATGGATTGAACGTTTCACAGGAATTTTGCCAAGCAAACCCTCCCAGTGTTCCTAGGACAATGCATTGTGCTCAGACTCTTTTCAGACTTGTTCTCATTTTTCACTTAGCTCTATCACAAAGTAATATCACGTCCAGAAAGTCAGTACAAGATTAATTAAGTAAAAAATAGCAGTTATACATCCTTTTTCCAAATATCTCCTATTCTTTCCAGTTCTTAGCAACTATCTTTAGTCCCTCCATTTCTACCACCTTCCTGTGAATAGACCTGTTTTTCTCAATGCCCTGAGACATTTAGCGTGTGGACGGATGAATCCTTGATTTGGAAGGTGGTGGTCTACAGACTTGCAAATAGCAAAACAGTACAGAACTTTAGACGATTCTGAGCATGGCCTGATTAAGTTTTCTGAAGGAGATACAAGAATGAAGTTAATGATATGAACAGTATGCGCAGATGTTAGCAATGGGCGCAGTTTAAGAATTTTACCTAGAACACAGTATAGGTAGGTAGAGTAAACTTCCCATACCTCTGCGTTTTACAAACATGTCACCATTGAGGTTCATCCTAAACCTGAATTATTTTAGTGACCTACCCCAACAGCAACAGTCACAATAGTGATGATAACCTACACTTTACAACAGCATCAGCCCATGGTTACCAGAGTATGCTAACAGACTCTGTTGGAAGCCATACTCCATTATAATACACATAATTTCCTCAAAAAGCAGGTTTTGGAAAAACGCGCATTTGTGACCTGTTACTGGAAGCTCTGCTGTTTCCCTGCTAGCTTGACTATAGCCTGGATAGCAAAATACCAAATACTCTACAAGTACTGGGTACTAAATCTCAGATATTCTGGGATCTCAGATATTCAATTTCCATCTATTAGGGAGTTGCCTTGTCAGCATTGTAAACTTCTGGCCCCTGACAAAGACCATGTAATTAAAGTTTTATAATTCATAGCTTCATATGGTGCCAGATTTTAAATAGTCAATGGCTTCTCATGGCTTTAGATGCTTTCTTCCCAATATGTTATCCTGTGGGAATAGCTCAAACAAAAACAATCCCCCTCCCCATGAGGAAAAAAAAAAAAGGAAAAAAAAAGGAAGGAAAGGAAAAGGAAAAGGAAAAGGAAAAGGAAAAGGAAAAGGAAAAGGAAAAGGAAAGGAAAGGAAAGGAAAGGAAAGGAAAGGAAAGGAAAGGAAAGGAAAGGAAAGGAAAGGAAAGGAAAGGAAAGGAAGAAAGGAAGAAAGGAAAAAAGGAAAAAAAGGAAAAAGGAAAAAAGGGAAAAAGGGAAAAAAAAAGGGAAAAAGGGAAAAAGGGAAAAAAGGGAAAAAAGGGAAAAAAGGGAAAAAAGGGAAAAAAGGGAAAAAAGGGAAAAAAAAGGAAAAAAAGGAAAAAAAGGAAAAAAGGAAAAAAAGGAAAAAAAGGAAAAAAAGGAAAAAAGGAAAAAAGGAAAAAAAGGAAAAAAAAAAGGAAAAAAGCGTACATGATTGATTAAATTTTGTTCCCACAATTCTGCCAATGCTGCTGCTAAAACTAAAGCTGCTTTGACACAACCTGTGTCACTGACACTGACTCAGTGCTGTGCCATGACACAAAAATAGAGCCCTGACAGTGACAAGTTCGATCCGACTCTTAGTAGTACAGTAGGATATATAGACAAATCAGTAAACCTTGTAAAAAGCAGAGAGGGTCTTGGTAAACCTGACCACCTTGCTCTGGTACAGATTATGAGGTTGTCCATTCGTGGCTGCGGTGAAGCACTAATAATATTACGTGCTCACGACTGCATCATGGTTAGCAAACAACAGTGATTATGAATTAGCCAGGTCTAGTGCAACTTACCATATAAATTTTTCTAAAACTTATTTATACTCACTGGTGATTCCGAGGATATGATCATAACACTCAAACGTTAGTAATGGCTGAGGGAGTTCCCTAAGGAAAGTCTTGAGGATAACAGCTATATGGATATCGTTATAATCATCAAAATTCACAGACTTGCCTAAAAGGAGAAAAGGAGAAACAAAAAAAAAAGGTGTTCAATCATATATTTTACTACTTCTTTAAACTACTGCTTAAAAACTGTTTCACACTACATTTTGAAAAGAAAATCTCTTGGCTCTCTACTGCTGGTGAATCCTGCCATTTTCTTTTTGTATTTTTCACAGAGTTTTATTAGTCTTGGTGTAAGAGATTCTCCTCATAAAGGCATTTCATAAAATGACTTCATGGGGAAGTTCAGTGAATTTTGAAATTTCTTCACTACATTTCATAAACTATTAGGTAAAATTATATTTCTTGGCCATAATCATGGAAAAACACCAGAGGCAAAAATGACACAAAGACATTGTACTTTGTAACTGAAGTAACTCAAAGTGCATAGAGGCAACACAAATGTTTATCAAAAAATAGATAATTTTTGACTCAAATCTTTTCATTCATTAGCTGCTATGGATTTTGTAAGCTCTGGTCTGACAACAACTGACGACTTACTATTCATTAAGCATTAAATGCCTGTTACTATCTTTCAGGTTTCTGTACTGGTTCTCATTTTATTTTATGGTACAAACGGTTTTATGATTAACTAATTATAAGAAAGGTAGCATTTCTGCTCTACCAACAAACCCAAGATTAACAAAATCCTCATGCTATTACTGGTAATGGTATGATGACAGCTTACCCTGATTGTAGAGTTTCTGAACATCTTTGATAGTCTGGATGCTGGCTGACCTTCTGAAGAGGCCCTCTACTTGTAGTCCTGAAAAAGCAATTAATGCAGGTCTCATCAGTAAAAGCTCTCACCCTTGTTTTTCTCTACAGGTTCAGTTGAAAACAGAACAGAGGCAGATGGTTTGGTAACAAACCCACTTGATGCACTACTTTTTTGGAAATAAAGTCCTTGAGAATAGAACGTACAATCAAATAATGCTGCGACATTGCCTACAGCACTTTCTTCAATGTGTCTCATAGAAAGTATATACTAACACCTTTCCTTAAGTGTTGTAGAGTGTCTTGCCAACTATAATTTTCCTTTAAAAGCAGCTTTCAGTTGTGCTTAATGACACAGAAGCAGGAGATTTAGATTCACCAGGCTGCTTATGTACGCACTCTTGCTGACCGTATCTGCAAACTGAGCCCCAAACCACACCTGTAAATATGCCATTCTCCTTCCAAATGTCTTAAACCTTTAGCAAGCTGAAGTGGGTATTTGCAAAGATTCCCTAAGCTCCCTCTTCTGTCAGCGGGTGAGACAAGATCCATAAGGCTGGGGAATGCTTCATAGCATCTTTGAATCGAGGAGCCCATGGCCTCCCCAGCTTAGAGGTAGTTTGGGGCAGACCACTGCTCCTTCCCTCTCTCTCTGGAAATCACTCTGCCTGCCCATGGTATTTTGAAATACCTGATTCTAGTCTTGAGGCATTTCTGAAATATTTATCATAAACCTCCTGAAGGGTATCTGTCTAATTTGCTTCTCTGTTGTGGACTAACTGAAATCTGACTTTAGCCACAGAGGAAAAATGTCAATAAAATGCATCCAATCAAGGATCTAATCTGGACCACAACTTTTGAGGTAAGTTACTTATCTGAATTATTAAGCAAAACAGGATGGAGAAAGAAGTGTTACTTTTCTTGAGACTTGTGGTACTTCTTGCTTTTCAGTTTGGTAAAATCGTCACGTCCCTCTCTCTCCTTATCTCCAATTCGTGCAGCTCCTTACACCCAGCAGGTAATGTAATTTGGCTTATGCATAGTCTGAATTGGAGATTCCTACTGGAAGCAGAGTAATCTGAAATATTAACCTATGCTGGTCTGACAAAACATAGAATTGCTGTACATTTCTTTATGTGAGTGTGGAAGGTCGGATTGACCTTTTTATTTTCTCATGCTTACCTTTCAGCAGTTAAGTAGCCAGCCTGAAATCAATGTTCGTGTATTTCAACTAAAATACATATGCATCTGTTTGCATGACCAAGAATCTTTACGGTGTTCTAGAAAAATTTTGAGTCATGCATTAATGAAAGATACTCAGTCATTTTTGTAAATTCACCCAGGTTGCAGGCACATTTTACACATGAAAAATCAGTAAATTAATATAAAAATCCTTAATGAACCCATTCTTTACAGAATAGCATTTAGTATTGTTCATATGAATTTAGGTCAGTATACTAAAAGAACTGATAATGCACTGTTCACGTAAATTTTCATAGACATGTTTCAGAGACTTTTGCAAAGAACCCCAAGCTCTACTTCAAAGTGCTCCACCGACTATATTTAAAGCCTCAGCTGGAGTTTACCTGAATGCAGCTCCTAGTTACCTACTAAGCATTTATGCCCTTGCTTGTTAAATTCCCCGTTGAATATTAAAACTTTAGCCCATGCACTCAGTTCTGGAAGGAGTATGACACCTCAAACTACAATATATAAGGAGGACGTGTGTTTACTAAAGGAACCAAATAGACAACAATTAGGATCTATTTGATTGCTTGCTTTATTCTCAATCAGATCATGCTTCAGTTGAATGAAGTTATGGCAAATGGCACCACTGTAGTAAAACTGTTCCATCAGATTTATAGCACAACCTGACTAAAGACACGGTTTTGGAAGTGGCAGCTGTGAACAGCTAGCTCTTCAAGGCATTGCCCTCAGCAAACAAGAAATACAATAATTTCCTGAGAATTTGTAGAATATTATGCTGGCTGTCAGCAGACTACAGCTTTTCTGTGGAAACAAGTCTTTCAGAAAATGGACATCATAAACGCTTGCAATTCGGTTTGTAGGAACCGGTTTAATAGTTAATGCTTTAATCTGATGTGAATCTCACTGTATAAACTACAACGCAATAAATATCAATTTTTAACATGTTTATGCCTTTATTGGCTAAGCTTTCAAGAGTCTAATTAAAGACATTAATCTGTAGCTTAGACAGCAGCTGTACTTGTCTGGCCTTGCATCCCATCAATGTTACTGTAACGGCACATAACACTAAGCTCTTGCTGGATATGTTTTTTGGAGGTCTGAGGGGGGAAAAAACCAGCTTTTATCCTCTTCTGCAGAAATGTGGGACACAGGCAATATCTGTGCTTCTTCCAGAATTCATTTTCCAGGTCAACTGAAACTGAATCAATACACAGCAATTTGTTTGATCACAGGTGGCAACAAGCCAACTACCAAAGCAGATATCCCCAATCATCCTTACATTTGTGGGCAACCTATCCAAATGACGTGACACTAATTAAATGTCAGTTAGTGCAATTGTTCGGAAAAAAGAAAAAGCTATATTCTCCTTCTAAGTAAAAGAACCCCAACGGCGAAAGAGCCACATTTTTTTTTTTTGCATAAAAGATGCTCAGACCAGAAAATAATGTATTATAGCAATTTTTAAATAAAGCATGGGTCATAACTTCAGCCTACTGGTAAACAGAAACATGAGTCAACAGCAATTACGCTATTGAAGGGCAAAAACAATGAGGCTGGGTACAGAGACAGCCCTTTTGCAATATATTTTTCTGACTTATGTGATGCATATGAACTGAGCAAGATACTTTTTTTAGAAATCTCTAAGTCTATTAATTGCTTTCAGCGCTTTCTGCGTTTAGGCAGGGCAGAGGAAAGCTGCCTGAAAACATGATCTGAACAATGCTGCTTCCCATGTCACATGACCTGAACAGCATTAGCATATGCCTCCAACTGTGGTCTCATAATAAGAGATGGGAAGGAGGAAAGGGACCTGAAGCCTCTTGTTGGTTACTCCACTGTGATGGATAAATACAGTCTTATACACAGTCAGGAAATACTTTCTCCAAATCTATATTCCATTTCAGACACTAGAGGAAAAAGACACAAGTTCTCAGAACTATCATAATTAAGCTAAGACAAGGTACCTACACTAAAATAAAATGAATCACTTTGTCTTCTTTTTGCAGACAAAATCCATGTCAGAAACATCAGAGTTACGGGATGAGGAAACAAATTTGCCTGAAGACAATCTTGGGGATTGCATCTCGAAGTATCCATTTTTATCCTTTTAAAAAAACAATTTTGAAGTAGCCTATTTAATTTTTATTAATAGTGTTCTGCAAACAAATCCCGTTTACAGCATGATTCATGTCAGCTGTCTCCTTAAAGTGAAATACTTTTTTGGTTACAGATTGAACTATTTAGCCATTAATAGCATGGGTAACGCAGTCTATAGAGAACACCAACTCTGGAGGAGCAGAGAACATTTGCCAGAACACTGCTAGGGGATGACTGACATGAGCAGCTAGCCTGAGCTTTCCAGTTCTGACAAACATGCAGCTGCATGTCACTCACATATTCTGTCAAAGCCGCAGAGCTTCTGTCGAGATAACTCAGCACACACTGCTTCCTGCTCTTCACAAAAAAAAAAAAAGTAGATAGACAGATAGACAGACAGATATAGAAATCAGTGGAATTTTGATGCTCTGCACTAAGCTCTCCAGACCAAAAAGAGCAAAATTTTATTTTAAATATTAAATGCTATTCAGAAAAAAACATAGCGATGTGACTAGTGAAGGACCCATCTGTATTCAATGAAAAGTGATTCTGAGATTGAGAACTTAACTGAGTAATTATTTAAATATCAGTAATCATAAATGAAAACAGGCAGGCACTTCATTCCACATTGAAATAAGATGGCTTTTACCATAGCAGACAAAATTTCACAGTGCAATGACACAATTGTGTCACACTTGGAATTAATAAACTGTTGCTAAAAATACTTAACCCCCTTCTACCCCCCTCAATCAGTTGTCCCACAGGAAAGACACAGAAAATCAAAACTGATAAAGATAAATTAAAACAACACATGCTGTCACATTGCTGCAAACTTGTCAAAGAAAGAGAGATGAGAAAATTCCATTCTTTTTCTTTCAATCATCCTTGATTTGAGGGTTGCTGGCATCAAAAACCTTTGTTAATTTGTCTGCTTTCAGAAGAGAAATAGCAAAGAGTGAGCATCTGAATTCCTTCTGTCCCAAATTGAGTTTGGAAATGTTTCTTTTGGCTGGGGTCCTGCCACATCTCAGGAAGTGTCCAGCCTGATTTGGAAGCAGTTTTCGTTCTCGTTAATACAACTGATTCAGACATCTTGCAGATTACCTAATTCGAGTAAGATTCCTTTTTAAAAAATTAGAACTCATTTATTTCTAATACGAGAACTGATGCATCTACAGCATATTTTAAGCGTCCATCTTCAGTGTAACATCTTAAATGCCCAGAGTGGTGGCAATTGTGAATTTTTATGCTTAAGACAAATCTGAGATTTTTTTTTTACAAGCTAGAATACAGTACAAGTTTGAGAAGGAGGTTGCACAGCCTTCCTTTCCCTTTTACTCTGTGCGATGAATACAGAACAAGCAGCTTGTAAAGATGACTTGCACTGCAAGAAGATGCGCAGCAGATGAAGGGCAGAGGGGAAGAGAAGGGGCAGTTCCAGCCCTACTGAAAAGCTGAGCAGCAGCAGCAAGGATGTAGAACTGTGCTCCCTCCACAGAACCTAAAGTGTATTTGTATCCTTGCCGTTCTGAACAGCGTAGTCTCTAGCCTTTGGATTTATGAATGAATATTCTCAGTTTACACTTGGCACATCTGAACATAATTTATTTACAATGCCTGAGCACCAAAAACACAAACTGTGCTTATTACAAGGTTCCTTTTTATTTGATGCCACACGAATCAGTCTTGAGATTTATCTCATCTCCAGGAATCCTAGGTAAAAACATTCACATGAAAACAAAA